AGTACGTGCAGGGCCTGAACCTGCGGGAGACGGCGACGCTGCTCAACCTCGACGCACACTCCAAGGAGCCCGAGAACCAGAAGCTCATGCAGGAGCTGTTCGACACGGCGCTCGCCATCAAACAGAACATCTACGGCAATCGAATCGTGCTGTTCGCGCCGCTGTACCTGGCCAACTACTGCGTCAATTCGTGCACCTACTGCGCCTTCCGGGGCGCCAACACCCACATCGCCCGAAGCGCCCTCACCAAAGAGGAACTCATCCAAGTGCCGTGCCTGCGCGTGACTTCGTTGTGTTGTGTTGTGTTGTGTTGTGTGTTGCCACACAGCGAGGCTCATTATTATTCCCTTGCGCGCAGGAAGTGCAAGTGCTGGAGAAGCAGGGCCACCGGCGCCTGCTTATCTTGACTGGCGAGCACCCCAAGTACACCTTCGACCAGTTCCTCGACGCCCTGCACACCGTCAAGAACGTCAAGACAGGTGAGTCTTGATCCGCACCATACCGCACACACCGCACCGCACACGTTATGCTGACCACGTGCGGCAACACTTCTGCAGACCCGTGCGGCGACATCAGGCGCATCAACGTGGAGATCCCGGCGCTGTCGGTGTCCGACTTCCGGCGGCTGAAGGCGACCGACTGCGTCGGCACCTACACGCTCTTCCAGGAGACCTACCACCGCGAGAGCTTCCGGCGGTTCCACCCGAGCGGACCCAAGTCCGACTACGAGCACCGGCTGCAGACCATGGACCGCGCCCAGATCGCGGGCATCGACGACGTGGGCATCGGCGCCCTGTTCGGCCTCCACGACTACCGCTTCGAGGTCATGGGCCTCCTCATGCACGCCCAGCACCTCGAGTCCACCTTTGGCGCCGGCCCGCACACGATCTCGATCCCGCGCATGCGGCCGGCCGACCACGCGCCCGACGCGATTCGACCGCCGGCGCCGGTGGACGACGAGGACTTCAAGAAGCTGGTGGCGATCCTGCGCTGCGCGGTGCCCTACACAGGGATGATCCTGTCAACGCGCGAGTCGGCAGAGATGCGGCGGGAGCTGCTCAACCTGGGCGTTAGCCAGATGTCGGCTGGCAGCAAGACCGAGGTCGGTTCGTACCACAAGGGCGACGTGGGCGCCGAGGCCAAGATCAAGCAGCAGTTCGAAGCCGAGGACCAGAAGGAGAAGAAGGAAAAGAAGGAGTCGGGCCAGTTCGAGCTGGCGGATGAGCGGAGCACGGAGGACGTGGTGAAGGACCTCATGCAGATGGGCTTCCTGCCGTCGTGGTGCACGGCCTGCTACCGACTGGGCCGCACGGGCGAGGCCTTCATGAAGATCGCCAAGAAGGGCGACATCCAGAACTTCTGCCACCCCAACTCGCTCCTCACCCTCCAAGGTACACCTGCGCCACCATCATACTTTCCTTCTGCGTTGTTCGCGAGATTAGATTTGACCTGAACGCACACAACGCACAACAGAGTACCTGAAGGACTACGCGTCGGAAGATACGAAGACGCTGGGCGAGGCTGTGATCGCGCGTGAACGAGAGACGATCTCCGCGCGGGCCAAGAAGGCGCTGGACAAGAAGCTCAAGCGAATTGACGCCGGCGAACGCGATCTCTATTTCTGAACCCTTACTTGTTGTAATTGTTATCATGACGTTCTCCGCGTCGTTGTGCGCGGTTGGAATGAAGAAGTCTAAAAGAAGCGGTGCATTGGTACAAGAGCAGATCAACAACAGAAGAAAACATGTGTATGGGGTGGTTAGGAGAGTGAGGGGGCTTCGCAAGCGCGTGCGGGCTTGCAGCATGCAGCGAGTGTGGGTGAGGGTGTGGGTGGGGTGTGGAGCAGTGAGCCTCTACTGCCTGATGACCCGCAGCTGCTCGCGGAAGACATCTCGCGTGTCGTCCCGGAAGTGTTGGAAGTCACGCCGCAGCTTGCGCATGACGTCGCGCGTCATGTTCTCAAACTCCTCCACGTGCTCGTAGTCGAACGTCTCCTCCTCCTCGCCTCCCTCTCTCGACGACGTCGTCCTGCCGCGCCTGTCCCTGTCCCGGTCGCGATCACGGTCCCTGTCCGACGAGCGGTCCTTGCTGGACGACGACGACGACGAGCGGTGCTTGTCCTTCTCCTCCCGCTTGCGGTCCCTGCGATCCCTGTCGCGGTCGCGGTCGCGGTCCCTATCACGGTCCCTGTCCCGGTCTCGGTCGCGGTCCCTGTCGCTGCTGCCGCTGCCGCTCCTGAAGCTGCGCTGGCTGGTCGAGCGATACCTGTCGCGGTCGCGCTCCCTGTCGCGCTCTCGGTCCCGCTCACGCTCGCGATCGCGGTCGCGGTCGCGGTCGCGCTCTCGCTCGCGCGATTCGTACTGTCGCGCGGCGGCCTGCATGGCGTAGACGGGCGGCAGGGCCTGCGCCAGTGTGTGCAGCAGCTCGGCCAGCTGGTGGTTGCTCGCGGCGAAGGTGGTCAGGTCCTCGGGCAACGACGCCGGAATAGACGCGGTCGTCGGCAGCGCCTTGCTCTCCTCCCGCAGCTGCTGCTGCAACACTACGCAGGCCACATGACACGACACACGCACACGACACGCGACACGCGACACACGCACGGTCAAGGAGACTGCGAGGGTGGAGGATGACGAGGGAGAGCGTACGTTGCATCTTGGACTCAGTTTCGTGGAGCTTGGCCTCGTGGGCCTCCAGCTGCTTGCGGAGTACCTCGGCCTCCTTGAGCTTCTCCTCCTTCTCCTCGAGCTCGGCCTTGAGGTCCTCGGCCTCGGCCAGCTTCCGCTCCTTCTCCTCGAGCTCGGCCTTGAGCTCCCGGACCTCGGCCAGCTGCCGCTCCTTCTCCTCCAGGATGCTGCGTAGCTCGGCCGCCTCCGCCAGCTGGCTCTCCTTCTCGCGCAGCGTGGCCTCCAGCGCTCTCGCCTCCTCCAGTTTACTGCCACCCCACGCGAGTCAGGCACTCACCGCACACACCGCACACACCGCACGACACGCACCTCTCCTGGGCGTAGGTCAATTCTTCGGCCTCGCGCAGCTCTCGCTCCTTCTCCTCGAGCAGGAGCTTGAGCATCTGTGTGGCCGTATGTGTGCGGTGGATACGGCGGTGAGTTGAGGGTTTGGGGGGAGGGGTGATGAGGAGGAGGAGGGAGACGTACGTCGGCCTTCTTGAGCTCGAGCTCCATCTCGGCGAGCTGGAGGCGTAGCTCCTCGGCCTCGAGGGCCTTCTTCTCCTTCTCCTCGAGGGCGGCCTTGAGCTCCTCGGCCTCGGCGATCTGGCGCTCCTTCTCGGCCAGTTCCTGCCGCAGCGCCTCGGCCTCGAGCATCTTGCGCTGGTTCTCCTCGAGCGCGGCCCGCAGCTCGTTGGCCTCGGTCAGCTTGCGGTCCTTCTCCTCGAGCAGCTCGTGCAGCTTCTCGGCCTCCTTGAGCTTGCCCTCGGTCTCGTCGATGATGCGCTGCTTCTCCTCCAGCTGCCGGCGCAGCTCCTCGGCCTCCTGCAGCTTCTTCTCCTTCTGCTCGAGCTCGGCCTTGAGATCAGCCGTCTCGGCCTTGAGGTCCTCCGTCTCGGCCAGCTTCTTCTCCTTCTCCTCGAGCTTGGCCTTGAGCAGCTCCATCTCCCGCGACTGGGCCTCGAGCTTCTCCCGGGCCTCCTTCTCGCCCGGCCACGACCCGCCTCCCTCGCCGCCGGCGAGGCGACCGGTCGGGCGCAGCGTGCTCCAGGCCGGCGCGGTCGTGGAGGGCCGGCCGTAGTTGGGCGGGCCGTGGTTGGGCGGCGCGCCTCGGCCGCTGCCCACGCCCGGCGTCGTACCGCGGCCCCGCCACGAGCCTGCTGCGGGTGTTTGCGACGGCGCGGGGCTCGGCCCAGCACCACCACCGCCAGAAGCGGCGGAGGCCGGCGATGACGACCCTTCGTCAGGCAGCTTGCCGGTCTTCCTTAGCATGGGGAACGGCGATGCGGCGGCGCTGTCGCCATCGCTCTTCTTTCCGGGCTCGCTCGCACCTGCGGCTCCTCCGTCGTTGGCTGCCTGGCGCTGTGTGACGTGGCGATGGTGCGCGTGAGCAGTAGCGCTACAAGAAGCAACGGTGTACGGGCGAAGAGGGGCGGTGGGGTACCCTCTGGCTGATCTTGGCAAACAGCTCGGCCATGGGGTCGCCGCCGCCGCTCTTGGCCGGCGGGGCGCTGCCGCCGCCTCCGGAGCTCTTCTTGAGGCCACCGGCGGCCATGGCGGCGATGGAGCTCCCGCCCGCGGCCGGCGCTCGTGCGGCGCTGGGAGGCGGCGGGCCGGGCGGAGGCGGGGGACCGGGAGGCGGAGGGCCTCCAGCGCTCGGTTGTGGTGCCGGCGGTGGGGGAGGGCCTGCCGGAGGCGCGGGAGGGTCCGGAGGCGGCGCAGGCGCCGCTGGAGCTGCAGGCGGATCGCCGACGCGGCGAGGCGACGGATCGACAGTGGCGGCGGGAGCCGCGGTCGTCTGCGCATCGTCGGCCGGTGCGGTGGTCGTCTTCGCTTGCGCAAACGTGACGGCCGCGGCGGACGAGTCTGCGGTGGCGTGGGCGGAAGAGGACTGGGCGGGGGCGGCCTCTTCGTCCTTCTGTTGCGGTTCGGCGATGGGCATCTTGGAGTCCCTCCGCGTGAGCCCCTTGGCGAAGCTGCCCTTCCTTCCCGCTTCCTTTTCGGCCTTCTTGGCCCGCTTCTCCTCCTCCTTCTTTTTCTTCTCCTCCTCCTTTTTCCTCTTCTTCTCCTCCTGGGCCTGCCGCTTGGCCTCCTTTTCCGCCTCCTTCTGCTTCTTCTTGGCCTCCTTGTCGTTGGTCTTCAGCACTGCAACATGTGGCGATCGGGAATGGCCGTCAACATCCAACCACACCTCTCTCTGTGTGTGTGTGTGTCAAGCACGGGCAAAGCGATGGTGGACGTACCAGGCGCGGAGACGTTGGTGGGCGCACTGACAGGTTCTGAAGAGCACAAAGCAACACCAAACGCAACTTCTCAATAAACACAACAGAAGAGGAGGAACGGGACGAGGAACAGCTTGGGGGGGGGGCGAACCGTTGAGCTTGTCCACGGCGGTGAGAAGGGTCGACGCGAAGCTGTTGGCCTCGAGCTGCGACGCGAAGTTGAGGCCGTACGCAAACTTGCTGTCGGAAAACTGGTGGAACGTTTTGGCGGGCTTCTGGTAGGTGAGCTCCTTGTAGAGCGACGTATCGATGACCACCTTTGGTTTGGGGGGGGGGGTCAGAGAACCGAGCGAGGCTATGTGATGTACTGGTTGGGGGGGCTCGCCCACCTTGTCCCGAATGACCTGGGAGGTGGCCACGACGCGATAGGCCGCCTTCATCGGGTGGTGGTAGATGTTAACGAGCGAGAGGCCGCCATCTTCGGCCTGCCAGGCGTTGTCTCTGAAGTAGTAAACCGCAGCTCGCACCGAGATGAGCAACTGTTCCCTGTGGTGGCAGATGAAGGTCGGTCAACAACAAAACCAACAAGAGATGTATCTGTGGGATGGAAACGAACCCCATGCTTGAGGCGTGTGAACCAGCCTTGGCCACTGGTAGAAGATGATTAAGTTGTAGTGGACGGTTTGGGAGGGGGGGGGTTGCTTGTGATCGTTTGTCAGTTCAAACTCTCTCGCAAGGTCGTTTGTTTTTAAGGCCAAAGTAAAGTGGAGTCGCCACGAAAGGGTCGTCATCCTTTATTTGGTAATCCCCCCCTAAAGACAAACAACCACCCGACCAACGGACAAGCGAACGAAACGAAGTGGAGGCGAACGTACCCTGCGAGGAGGAGGGAGGGGAGGGCACAACAACCACTAGCAGTAGCTACTACGGCAGTGACATGTCACTATGTTCGTGGTGTGCGTAAGGAAGGGCAACAGAGAGCAGCGCCAAGAAAACATGTTGCACGTTGGTCCAAAACGTAAAAAAAAATGAAGGAAGAAATGGGTGCATCAGTACGCTCTGTTGTGTTGGCGGGCCGCGGCAGCTGCTGGTCGAACCGCTTCGTGTCAGGGCTGGGCCGGACTAGGCTGGGGTGAGAGAGGCAAGAGAATGAATGAAACGCGCACACACCACACACACACGACAAGATCCCATTTATTGATAATGGGGCGGCGGACACAAAAAAACGAAAAGCGTGACTGTTGTTTTTGTTTTGCTGTTTTGCTTTGGTGCGGCTTTGCTCCTCGACGCTGAGGGAGAAGAGCATACCATCCAGGTGGATCGTCCAATTGGATTGACCTTCCCGCGCCGGAGTGGCCTAGACGGCGATGTTCACTCCTCGCTCCTTGGCCTTCTGTGCTCGGATCATCTCGAAGATGAGCATCCTGCAGGAAAAGAAGAGAGAAGCGATGAAACCCTTTGTCGAAAGGGGGGCGAGGGGGATATGGCAAAACCAAGCGGGGGGGCTTCCAGGCCGACCCAAAAAGGAGGAGAGGAGGGTACCGCCAGAGCTTGATCACGAAGACTTCGGCTTCGTCTTCGAGCACGAAGGCGAGCTGATCCAAAATCTCCTGCGGGGCCATGTGGTTGGACATCTTGGCCAGGACGAACTCGATCAGAGTGGCCTCCTCTTCGCCCAGGTACTCGACGATCTTCTTGGTGACCCATGGCTTCATCCTCTTCTGAACGATTTCGGCCTGCGCGCGCCACCCGATGTAACCCCAAGTCAGCACAACGCCGCGGCTCAACCCGAAAACACTGTCGTGAAACATACCTCATCGACTATGTCCCAGCTGAGCTGGAAGTTGAAGAGGTCGGCCTTGCTGGCGGGAATCATGGCTACGATCTGCTTGGCTTCTTCCTCGCGCTCCTTTTTGATCTGCTCCTCGGTCCTCATGGGCTCGAGCGGAACGAGCTTCTTCCTCTTGGGGTTCGTGAGCGGGTTCTGCTCCTCGTCGGGATTGAAGCCGGGAGTCACGCCGAGCTTCGTGGGCTTCTTGAGGAGGGTGGGCGCCGCAATGCGCAGCCCCATCTTGACCCTAAGAAGAGGATAACCAAAATGCGTTGAGACACAAGACGCGCAAGGCCGAAGCTGTGGCGAGTGAAGAGCACCTTTGGTCGGAAGAGTCGGGCGAGATGGGCGTAAGTCCGTTTTCCGTGTCGTCGGCCAACGATGCGTCGTAGGTTCTCTTGACACCCGCCCGCTGTTCTTCGGCCTCGCTTGCGACAGAGCTCCGATAGGCCTCGGCTTCCTCCTCCTGCCGCCGCCGCAGTTCCTCCTCCTGCCTCCTTCGCTCCTCTTCGATCCGCGCCCGCTCCTCCTCGACCTCCCTCCGCCTGTCCTCTTCGTCGTCCTGCTCCTCCCTCTCCCTCTCCTTCCTCCTCTTGCCCGCTTTCCTTCGCTTCCTGTCCTCCTCTTCATCGTAGTTGAGCTCCTTCTCGATCTGCCACTCGCGCTCCTTCTTCTCCTCGCGCTCCCTCCGCTCGCGTAGCCTCTCCTTCTCCCGCTCGCGCGTTTCCCAGTCCTTCTCCATCTCGCGGTACTCCCGCTCGTCCCTTTCTCTCTTCCTCGCCTCTCGCTCCCTCTCGCCTCGTCGCTTCTCACGCTCCCTGGCCCTGTCCTTCTCCCGCTCCCTTCGCTCTCGCTCCAACTCTTTGTCCCAGTTGCTGCTGGCTTGCCGCTCCTCCTCCCGCTTCGTCGCTTCCGGGTTGTCGCCATCTTCTGCCGAGCCCGTCTCCATGCCCTTGAGGAAATCGCCCGCCTTCTTGTCGGACAGGAGTGCCTTGATCTTCGCCGCGATGACCTCGTCCGGCACGTCTTCTTCCTCCTTCTCGGCGGCAGGCTCTTCGCTCGGCTTCTCGGCGACAGCAGCAGCAGGTTCGTCGGCCGGCTTGTCACTAGCGGGTGCAGAGGCATCACCGTCGGCGCTCTGTTGCTGCTGTTGTTCTTGCTGTTCTTTCTGCTGCTGTTCCTTTTGCTGCTGCTCTTGCTGCTCTTGCTGCTGCTGCTGTCGCTGCTGCCGCTGCTGTTCCTTGATATTGGCGATGGCGGCCTTGCTCTTCTGGTAGCGGTCGAGCGCTTCCCTGGTCCTATCGTCCACGTTCAGCAGCAATTGGTTTCCATCGATTTCGAGATTGCTGAGCAGGCGCAGGGCTCGCAGCGCGCCCTCCTCGTTCTCGAAGCGCGCGAAACCAAAGGGGCGTGGGGTGTTGCTGATGGGATCCATCATGCGCTTCCAGTTCGCCACCTTACCGCATTGCTGCAGCAGGCGCTCGATGAAATCATCGGTGGCGCTGGCGGGGATGCGGCCCACGTAGACGGTCGTTTCGACGCCGATGAGGCGAGGCGGGGCTGAGATCGGCGCGCCGATGCGGATGGGCAGCGCACCAGCAGGCGGTACGTAAGGCGCGCCTACTGGCGGTGGAGCCACGTGTACTGGGGGCATGCCAGGCATGACGGGCGGCATCCCAGAAGGCACACCCATCGGGTAGGGAGATGGAGCACCCATGTATGGGGGACGAGCTGCGCCAACAATCGAACAACATCGAGTCAGCCTATTTCATAAAGATGAATTTAAATTTTCCAGATTGGCGAGTTGCGCACCCATCGGTACACCGTAGGGATAGCCCGGCGGGGGCATGCCCATCGGGTAGCCCATCGGTGCGCCCGGATAGCCCATGGGCGGCATGCCCATGTGCGGAGGCATGCCAGGGAAGGGTCCTCCAGGATAGCCAGGGGGTGGGTTCATCTCTCGGTCACTTGTTGCTGGTCTCGGTGAGCGCCACAAAAAGAAAGGAAAAAGAAATGTCTTGGTCGACGCAAAATGCACGTCTGTGGAAAAAGCGCAGCTAAAATCACGCCTTGGGCTGTGTTGGTGCCCTCGCTTTCCTCTTGGGCGTCGGCTGGCTGCTGTTGGTGTTGGTAGCACCTGAGCGGGTCGATGAAGAAGCCGCTAGGTTGACGGAGTCGTAGTCGCTCTTGCCGCCGGTCTTGGTGATGAGCCGGGTCTCCTCGATGACGATGTCGTGGGAAAGGGCCTTGCACATGTCGTAGATCGTGAGCGCAGCGACGCTGGCGCCGGTCAGCGCCTCCATCTCCACCCCGGTCTTGTGGTGCAGGCTCACTTCGCAGTCGATCACAACCCGCCTGCTCTCCTCCCCCTCTTCCTTCTTCTTCTTCGCCGGAAGAGAGGCGTCTTCCTCCATCTTGATGGTGAACTTGCATCCTTCGATCGGCAGCGGGTGGCAGAAGGGGATGAGCTCGCTCGTCTTCTTGACCCCCATCGTGCCGGCCACGATCGCCGTCGCAAACACAGGTCCTTTAGGACTCGCTATCTCATTGCCGCTCAACGCGCCCAAGACGGCCGAGGGCAGACGCACGTAGGATCGCGCGAGCGCCGTTCGCTTCGTCACCTGATGAGCCGGGCGTGAGCTGGCTGTGCGCACGACTGATGCGAAAGAAAGAAAAGCGGACTCAACGTGCCTGCTTTGCGCTGACGTCGACCATCGTAGGAGTGTTGGTCTTGGCATCGACGTGCGTCAGACCGCTTCCGCCATCACTCGACTCGGCCGCTGTCAAGGCCCGCAAGAGTGAGAGCGTCAACACAACAATACAATCATACAAAGCTCGAGAAGAGGGGTGGGGAGGAGAGCGACGGATAGAGCGAGCGTGAATGGCGCCCTTTAATTTGTGGTGGAAGTGGAGAGTAATTACAACAGCACACCGCGTGCGAATAAATAAGCGTGGATAGGTGTGGGGGTGGGTGAGTGGAGGAAAGTTGTGTCCATCTCCATCTCTATCTCTCTATCGAAAGCCGTGTTACGTTCGTCTAGCCGCCTATGAGGATCATAGGGCGGTTCTTATTTTTGGCGATGTCGTACATGTCATACATACCCCCGTGGTGTTCCTTCTTTCGCTTGACCGCGGCGTTGATCATGCGCGACAGCTCGGCGTCGGTGGCGTAGCCCACCCGCATGGCGTCGCGCAGGGAGACCTCCGAGGAGCCGAAGAGGCACACCTTGAGATTGCCGTCGGCGGTGATGCGCAGTCGGTTGCACGAGCCGCAGAAGTGGTCACTCATCGACGTGATGAAGCCGACGCTGCCCGCGAAGCCCGGGATCGACCAGGTCTTGGCCGTTTCGTTTGGTGTCGGGTCGGGCAGGCGAAGGAACTCGTTGCCGAAGTCGCGCTTGATGATCTCGATCATCTCCTTGTAGGAGAGGAACTTCTGGTCGTTCCACCGGTTGCCATCGAACGGCATGTACTCGATGAAGCGCACCTGGATCGGCTTGTCCCTCGTCATCTTCACGAAGTCGACGATCTCGTTGTCGTTCACCCCTCGCATCACCACGCAGTTGATCTTGAGCGGGCTGTAGCCGTAGTCCACCGCCATGTCGATCGCCTCCATCACCTTCTCCCAGCCCTTTCGCCTCGTGATTTGTGTGAACTTTTCGCTGTCGAGCGTGTCCAGGCTGATGTTCAGCTGGTTCAGGCCCATCTTGTGCAGCTTGGGCAGCTTTCGCGCCAGCGTGATCGCGTTCGTCGTCATCGCCAGCGCCCGCAGCGGCAGAGCGCCGACCTCGCTCACGATGTCCTCAAGGTCCTTCCTCACCTGCGTTCACGGCACGAGCGGCAGTGAGAACACGCCACAGCACACCAGAGAAAGAACTGGCTGGGGGAGACGACGAAAGCCTCACCAGTGGCTCGCCGCCCGTGAAGCGGATCTTATCCACTCCGGCGTCGACGAACAGTCGTGCCACCCGCACGATCTCGTCCTTGGTGAGTATCTTGTCGTTGGGCTGCAGGTCGATGCCCTCCTCCGGCATGCAGTACACGCACCGGAGGTTGCCTGTGGTGTAACGGTAACAAAGCGTGAGAGTCACAAAACGCCACAGCGGCAGCAGTGCAGCACACGAGAGGTAACACGGGAGGATGGCAAGTACATCGTTCCGTTAGCGAGATTCGCAGGTAATTGTGGTGCCGATTGAAGTTATCCGCCAGAATGGAGTCCGCTTGTAGTGCAGTCGCGGGTTGTGTTGTGGCGCTCAGCACGGATGACGGTTCCTGCTTTTGCACACGAAGCGCGGCAGCCTCCGCTGAAAACAACCGCCGTGCCCCCTGCAGATTTGATCTCGATCAATTGATGAAATCAAATCATCAAATAATGTCACTGGAGGTGCACGCATACGCGCTCGCTTGCTCGCCTTAGAACTTCCCGCTCTTGATGCAGGCCAGCCCGCTGCCTCGCGTCCCGTTCATCTTGTGATGTGAATCTATCAAAAAAATAGCAACCGCAATAAATAATCAAATGACATTGTTTTTATCGCCTGAAAGGAATTTCCGACGGCAGCGCAATTTCGCTCTAGAAACCTGCGGGCCGCGCTCAAAACACACACAGCGATCTTTGTTTGCGGGGTGTTCATCAATCGAGCCAGAGATCGTGCGATTGCACGCATGAGAGTGAAGTGCCTTTTCTTCGCGGCGAGCAGGGACGTCACGGGAGTGCAGGAAAAGGAGCTCACCTACGCTGACGGCACAAAGACCGACGCACTCATCGCGAATCTCATAGAGCAGTTCCCCGGATTGGGTCCCATCTTCCAGAGCGCGGTGCTGGCAGTCAATCAAGAGTACATCGATCCCGAATCCCCCATCGAGCTCAAGGACGGCGACGAAATCGCTGTCATTCCACCCATCAGCGGAGGCTAAGATTAAGATGCAAGAACAAGCCATCGACCTGGTGGAGGTGACCGAGGCGCCCCTCAGCCTCGACCGACTCGTCGCCTTCGCAGGGTCGCCCAAAGCGGGTGCCGTCTCCACGTTCTCGGGTACCACGCGCGACAGCTTCCAGGGCAAGAAGGTGGTCCATCTCGAGTACGAGGCCTACAAGCCGATGGCCGAGAAGGAGCTGCACAAGATCGCCCAGCAGGTGCGGGAGAAGTGGCCCGACGTGCTCAAGGTGGCGCTCGCGCACCGCATCGGGAAGGTGGACATCGGCGAGGCCAGCGTCATCATCGCCATCTCGTCGCCTCACCGCACGGACTCGCTCGAGGCGGTGCACTTCGCCATCGACGAGATCAAGGCCACGGTGCCCATCTGGAAGAAGGAGTTCTACGAGGAGGGCGGCGTGTGGAAGGAGAATGTCGAGTGCTGCCACAGCGGACCCCACCGACGAAAGGACCACGGTCATGGCCACGGTCACGGCCACCATCACGCCTCTCACTCGCACGCCGACCAGAGCGGGCCTCAGTGAGTACCTACAGTAAAGCCGTCTATTTATTCACCGCTCCCTTGAGTTCTTACTTCCTCGCTCACTTGATGAGACGCACCAACGGGCCTGCAGTGGTAGAAACGCTGTTGTGTGCGTGTGTGGTCGCGCGTGTGCGTGTTAAGTACGTACCGAGGTGAAGTGAATACGCGGGAGGGGACTGTAAGCACCTTTCCAGCACCCCCTGCCCCACCAGATCTCGAATATGAAACAGTGGCCCGAGGGAGGAGTAGCGCAGTCTCTTCTTCTCCAAATCCTGTGAGGGCAACAGGGTTTAGGGACTACTCGAACCACTACCGCGCGAGAGGAGATGGGGAGGGGGGAGCGCGAGTGTACCTCTTGTAGAAGCTCTTTGTGCTTCTGGCGCTTGAGGATGGCGATGACCTCTTGTCGCCCCTTGACGCAGCACTTCATGAAGGCACCGATGTTGGGCACTGAGAACCAGAAGCCCTCTCCCTCGACCTCGACTCGCATGTCTCGAATGAGCACGCCGGCGTTGACAAGCACCCTGATTGAGCGCGTGAGGGTGCAAGTCGTGTGCCAAGCCTGGCCGCGAGCTGGGGTTGCGTACATGATCTGCTCTTCATCAGCTGGCTGGCCTGCAAAAAGGAGTTCGACGAGACGCTCCTTGGGTATGTATTCGTCGGACTGCGTGGCTGGAAGAACGGTATTTACAAATGTATCTGCACACACGCAGGGTAAGCACGCCAGGACCATACCCACCACCGAACGCAGGTGTCCCCACGCACCAAAGATTGGCGAGTCCTCCTTCTGGTTGGCCACAAGCTGCCGTCGCTCTGCGGCGATCTGGGCGCGATAGTCCTCAACGAACAGAACCGCGAACTCGTTGGTCTTGAGGTGGACCTTGAAGCTTCGTATCTCCCCTTTCCGTTTCAGTTGATCCTGCACCAATGAGAGGATGAGGCACGACGCGGCTCGTGGGCTGGCCCAGGGCATCAGGGATCGTACCAGTTCTCGGTCGACCTGGGTGCGATCGCTGACGATGGCGTAGAGCTGGTTCATGAGGATGACAGGGACGGAGACCTTGCTCTTCCTGAATTCAGGGAACTGCGTACGCAGCACCTGAAGCCCCAGCTCCACGTCGGAGGGAAGAGCTGCAGCAGCAATGCGCAAGAGCCAAGTTGCCACGTGTGTTAGAGTCGCAAAAGGTGGAGTTGGGGTTGATGCTCTTAAGCTGCGTACCATCAAATTGGTTGGTCACGCTGCCTTCAACTGTGGCAACTTCCGAGCTAGCATGTTGCAGCACTCTACCACGGGCTCGCGGCGAGCGATAGAGGCTAGGCACCACCGGCGCCTCCCTCTTCCTCTTCATCTCCTCCTTTTTTTGCCCTTGGTTTTCTTTTTCTGTTCTCGATTTTCCTGGATGAGCGCCGGGGAATTGTTTGTTTCCCGCCGCTTTTCTTTGACTTTAGTCGGGCGACGCGAGCAAGACACACAAGCGACAAGGCTAAATCAGAAGAAAGCGCGGGCGAGAGAGAAGAGAGCACTGAAGAATGCAGGATCCGAACTTCTTGAAGTACATCAACACTACGATTAAGCTGCTGTCGACACACAGCGGAAGGGACAAGGTGGCCAAGACACTCCACTACGCGTCGCGCATTTGGATATGGCACCTTCAGAACAAGGGCAAGAAGGAGCGAGCCGATCAAATTGAATCCTTCAGGCAAGCGATCGGCAACAGCCGGAGGGTGGGGCGGTTCTTCTCCCTCCTCAACTCGATCCCCTCAATCTACCAACTGGTATTCCCTGACCCGAGGACGAAGGACCGCGAAAGCGATCTGTTCCGCTTCTTGCTCGTGGTGGCCAACGTGAGCGACATGCTCTACTACGTGTCCGACAATCTCACCTACGCCGCGAAGTACGGCTTCATCAAGCTCAGCCCAGAGACCAACTACTTCTGGTAAATCTTGTGTTCCCGCCTTTGTGCCGCTTGTTTTTGTTTTTGGCGCACGCTTATTGGACATATGGTACAGGGAGGAGCTTGTGGGGTCGTGGACATGGTTCGTGTCGATGATCGTGTACATTGCCCACGACATCAAGACCTACCTCAAACTACAGTACGTACCTTTGTCTGTCGGAGCCGGCCACGGCGCAATAAGCGTGTGGTGGGCGAGGTCTTCAGCTTTGACACCCACTGATTCTCGGTCGCGCAGACAACAGCGCCTTCGGTTGGAGCATCAGGTGATGAAGGACAGCACGACGGCCAAGGCCTCTGCTTCCGCTCTCGCTGCTACAGATGAGGAGATCTTCAACAACAGGCTAAGCTTGATCAGGAACCTGGCTGATATGCAGCTCGCAATCTACTTCTGCTTTCCCAACTCCACCTGGTCTTCCCAATGGGTCGGCCTCTTTGGTGTCATCAACGCCGTCACTGGCGGTACGGCACCATCAACCTCTCAGTGTTTCCTTCAACTCACTCGTGAAAACTGGTACACTCACGCACCACCATACAGGCTTCCAAATCTGGCGT